TATCCAAAGCATCTTTAAACTTTTGGAAGTTTACCATGATTTTATCTTCAGAAAACTGTTGTTGGCTTGATGTTCCATTGACTGAAACAGCGTGTAGGCCTGAATCTGGAGATCTCGAAGCATCACTTACTTCTGATGACGACGTCTGAATTGAAGTCGAAATTGTAGTGGCACTCACTTCAGTAGCTACTGGTATCCAGTTGTAGCTTGTCTGTGTTGCAGCTTCAGAATGGTTGGATAGTGTTACAGTTTGAGTCTCTGTTGATACAGATATACTACCAACCATTTGTGTTGAAGTGTCGAGCTGTTCGCAGATTGGCTCTGAATGGTAGGAGACAATCAGAAAACGGATTTTTTTAGGCACTACTTCGGAAATACCAGGAATATCTCCCGTGCCTGTGTTACTGCTGATCCTGAAAAACAGCAAAATAAAGAATCCTTAAAACCGAAGAGCTGTATTTGTTATATCTTAAACATTAAAATATATTTAAAATGTCACATTGTATTACATTAAATGACATCTGGGGATTTTTTTTAGGGGGGGGGGGTTGTTTTTTGTTGGGGGAAGAGTTAAACACTCATCTAATAAGGATGCCAAATCGCCGAGTCTTGAAGAAGCGATATGTAATAATACACTAACCTGTATTGATGTGTATTTTGCAACAGATCAGAACTATAACCACTGACTGTAGATCGAGTCAGTGCATTACTTTGCATTACCTAAAACAAACCAAAGTTGTCATTATAATTAATCAGTTTTACAATATATTTAAGAAATGACGAATAGCTTGGGTCAAAGGCGGCACCAGCATCCCGAGACCGAGGGTACAAAAAGGTGTGATTTAACAACAGATGGGCGAGGTTGAAATTCATTATGCAGCAGTTCTGTGGAAGCGCCATAGGCGGGAGCGTCTGAGAGGGTTGCCCCTCAATGAAACCTTTGAAAAATAGAATTGAAGTGTGCATTCTGATACATATTTAGGAGAAAAATATTAGAAACAAAGTGGCGCTAAAATTGGGGGTACAAACCATTATTCCCATTAACCTTACCCCCGTTTGTACCCGGACTGGCTTGGGAGTAAGTAGCAATTATTTTAAGGTTATTGACATGGGATGGACATTGCATTTTATCAGTGCATCTTTGATAATGAAGTAATGGTTTGAAGCCTATACAGAGATGTTACAAAACGTACCTTTAATGCCTTTAATCTTAGGCTGTTGAAGCACTGAAGATTTTGTTGAATTAAACTTGGTTGAAATCCATCAGAATTCTTCATCCTCTCTTCATTGGGAGAGTTTAGAATCTTACTCTGATAGTAGACGTCCATAATTTCCGAGTTTAACATCATTCTACGTTGAATAGTTCAATATAAACAGTAAAATTATGATAATTTTACTAGAGAACGTTCTATCAACTTCTGGAAAACTGAGTTTCAAGAATAGAATAACGTTAATAATGGTAAAACGTCATAAGTAAGAATAACGTCATGGTAGCAAAAGGGGAACACCCATTGACCTCTAATAATGAATAAGCCATAATGTTCCATAATTTACCATATTCTTCAGTACATTTCTTTAGTTTTCAGGGTTTGTTGTTATTACAAAATATTCTGTAGAACGGTAACCAAATATTTTATTTCAACCTTGTAGATATAACTATTTTCGCAAATAAACTATACTCATAATATGCGTAAACAGATTCAATTCACCGAAAAATCTATTATTTTACCTTTGCCAAAAATCAGAGGCGATGGAAATATGGGACCCCTCTGCCCTTCTCATTGTATTTTGCAATTCTTTCTGCCCCTCTGGCAAATTCGGTATCGAATCTCTGCTTAAAATGATACTACGTCTTAGACCTTGGTGAATAAGAGCCAGTAGATATTCCTGGTGTCATAAATAACATAATAGAATCCTTATATAACAAGATTAATCGTTTTTCAATAATTACTTAGTTTTATGAATTTTCCAATTTAACAGGGTAACTGTAACTTTATGACACCAAGTAAGCAAACTGATGAATATATACTCATATTGACCATTTCGAGAACTTAAATTTTACGTTCATCCTAAGACGTAGTAACACTTTAAAATGTTTTTGTAAACAGAAAACCTATACACCCCTTTGTATAATAAACCAAGAACTAACGATCCAATATTTGTTTACATGCATACAAATACCTAAAGTTTCGAGACTATCTGAGGAAAAAGTAGCCAAAAATGTTATTCGAACGACGGCTAGCTGAAAAGTTCTAAGCGTATGCCTTAGTATGGAAGACAAGTAACAAAGGCGATGATTTTCATGTCTTTTCCGGGTTTACACTTTTTCTAGCGAATCTGCAATGCTGCAAACTCACCAACACACGCTGGTTACCATCTTGAATTTGTCTTGCTGGCTGATACGTTGCTGGCTCTAAACGGATATCAGAATCCAGTTCTTTTTTTTTTTTTTTTTTTTGAGTTCATTAGCTACAAAATAATCTACGGAAGAAAATCAAGGCAACCAACAGTATAATATGGAAGAGATTGTGGAAATTTGTGGTAGGTATCTCAACAAATAACAAACTAAACTCCAGAGACAAAATGTATTTGCATCTTCAAAACGATAATACTGGGAAACGACCTATTAAAAGAGTTTCACTTCGATCGATGCCGATCTTGATGACTCTATAGAATCAAGCGAGGACAGCGCAAACTATAAAAGCAGAACGCAAAATTGGCATTCCTGTACGAATACAGCCAGCACATCGGATGAGCTGCGGAGTTCTTCGACAATTTCAAACCATCAAACCAGAAATCAGCATTTCACTGTTTTTCCTTAGTCAAGGGCAATAACTCAAAAACCGTTCAACGAAAAATCAAATTCGACCAAGATAAATTTAAATGATCACACTAAATTTAATTAAAATCAGATAAAAACTGTAGCCTCTATTGTTTTCCCAAGCCAATTGTGGACGGACGGACCAACGGACGGGGGCGACGACAATATACGATCACATTATAATGCGAGACGTAAAACAAGAGACGTATTATTTTAGATGTGAGAGATATCCAATAGTTTAACCAGTTTCTTTGCGTGCACACTTCATTTTTTACGGGTTCATCAAATTTTGTCATTCCCAACTCGTTGTTGAGATGAGGGGTGCCCATAACACTTACAGTAAGTTGAGTTTTCAATCGTTTCAACCCTTGTGT